TAATTTTGTTCATTAGATTTATCTTATTATTATTATTATTATTATTGTTAGTCCCCGACGAATAGGATTGTTAGCCTCTGGCGAATAACAATTGCACAATTTGAAGTCTGTAAATTGAAGCCTGTATTGATCTTGAATTGTAAAAGAAATTTTTGCTTAAAAATTAAGATATGATAAAAATTGCAAATATTTAATTGTAGTTAATGACCGTAATACAGTATTTTGGAACAACTTGGTAGTTATGCACATAAAAATCAGCACAAAATGCTTATCACGCACGCGTCTAAAACATAACTCCTGCCATGTGATATAATATACAACGATAATTGATAGGATAAACATCATCAGCCAATTAAAGCTCGTCATCTATAAATTTTTTTTTTTTTACATATATATGAAAAAAAAATTACACATTAAGTCATCACCTCATCTTGCACGAATATTTGTTATTTAATTGCCGCGTTCTTACGTATCAAATTATTGTAAAAACTAAGAATATTCCCACAAAAAAAAAAAAAAGGAATTGACAGAAGAATATGTTCAAAACACTTACCAGTGCAATATCTAGATCAGCCTTCCCCACCCGTACTGGCCTTTTGACTCTCTCTAACATTTCACAACGAGGATTTAAAACAATATATGTGTCTAATGTTTCATACACCTCTAACGAACAAGGGCTTGAAGAACTAGGCTCAAAATTTGGTAAAGTTGAATCTGTTCGTATGCCGAGGGATTATGAAGGCAGAAGTCGTGGTTACGGCTTTATTGAATTTTCGCATGAAGAAGAAGCTGCAAAAGCTATGGAAGGACTCAACGGATTCGAGTTTGAAGGTAGGGAACTGAGAGTAGCCGAAGCTCGTGGTGGGTCTAGTGGTCCCCGTGGCGGACTTGGTGGCTATTCACGTGGCAGTAACTTCGGGAGATTTGTTGACCGTGGTGGTCGTGATCATATTTGAGTTCTTTAATAATATACTTGAGGAAGCCTCCTGTAACTTGAAAGAGCTTT